ACTAGGACTGTCACCATCACCACCACCACTATTACCTTCATTTTGATTTCCGCCTCCACCACCTTCACTATCATTTTTTGAGCCATTCTGAAACGAATCAAGACCTAACTTTGATTTAGACCTGCGAAATCCTTTTTGACTGGGTGAAAATTGAGAAACACTACACGTGAAAGTTCTTCGAAAGGTTGTTTCATACTTCAACGGTTGAATTAAAAGTAGTACAGGAGATTGAGTGGATACAGGTGCGGGCTGTATTGAATTCGATAAGCCTTTGAGTATGCCGCGACCTGTAACCTGAGTTTGAGCTCCCACTCGACTTGTCAAGTATCTCGCACTTTTTGCGAAATGATGAGAGTAAGGGTTCGACGCTAACGGGAGGCGCGCAAAAGCGCCCCCGAGACGAATTTTGTGTGAAATCTTTGTGTAATTTCGAATTGAGGCCATGGAAGGTTGACCGTTTCGAGATCACGGTCGACTCTATGGGAGCTCTTTTCATTAACAGCTCTTAGGGTCGACAAATTTGGAGGAACAGGTATATAAAACACCAACTCCCGTAACGGCAGATATCCATATATGCAACTTGTAGGAATTTTTTTTTTTTGATGACGCATCAGTCACGTTCACATGGATCGGTTATTACGTAACGGTACTGAACGTGTGTTCTAAGAAAATGTCTTTATCTTATGTTAGAAGTGATGGATTTTACGACACAACTTGCGGCTACTGCAACTCCGAAGAAAAGACTTCGCGTAAATTCTACATGTCCTCTGGTATATTAACTTGTCAAGTGAGTTATTAAAGTTCAATGAGAGGCAATGAGATAGGTTTAAGTCAAGATTTAATTGACTTCTTTTGTTCCGTTTAGGACTATCAAGATCTTATCGATCGCGGTTGGCGAAGGTAGTAGATACCAACATCTATTTCCAAATTTGAAGTGAATTAAAATTGATTTCTTGATTTCTTCTTCGCGTGGACACTTGTTTCACAGATCTGGAACTTGTTTATATAAGCCTGACATGCGCAACGGTTGTTGCCCACAATACACTATTAGGCAAATAAATTCTCCCTTTTTGACCGAATTTGCATTATGTGTCGTAATGTAGAAGAATAACATTTTTTTGTGACAAAAAAAAAAAAAAAAAAAAAAAAAGATTAGACGTAAATAATTTTCAAATCTCGAAGTCAC